AAACTTCAGTTCTGCACATCCCATGTATTTAGTCTATAAATATTCTATAACTGGATCTGCCCTGTTTTGTGATTTGAAGAGTTGGTTGACTACATTAGGCAACTAGGAATATTGTTTTAGGAAGTGCTTCACACCATGGAAAGATCTCCTCTACTTGTAGGTAACATAGATAAACCTCCTATGTAGCATGATTTGGTGGCATTGTGGGGGTAGGGGTTGTCAAGCTGCCCCTGTCTAATTCTAGCTATCACCACCCCAGTGGTTTTTACCAACATTTTTCATCTTTGGGATAACTAAGAAAGATAAGGACAACAAGAACAATATTAAAACGTTCTGTAATACTTGAGATGGGAGTTTGGGTCTTAATGGGCAGAGACAAAGGGGAGTTAATTAAAGTAGCAGCATTTTCTGCTCTTCCTCCAAAATAAAACGTTCCCCCTTCTCTTTAAAAACCACTTGGTCAAAATTGGCCTTAGTGTTGAAGTAACTAAATAAAAGCATGGGCTTTGTAGTAAGACAGAGCTTGCTCAACTCTTGGCTTTCCCTCTTCCTGCCTGTATCCTCTTAGTCATGTTAATTAAACTCTGAACCTCCATTTCCTCATCTGTAAAAGGAGAATTGGAAAGGCTACTTCAGAGGACTGTTGGGAGGATTTAACAGAATAATGTTTATAAAGTACAGAGCATGCTCTTGACGTTCTTGATACAGAGTGACAATTATTACCTAGGAAACAAAAGGCAACACTGAGAATAAGGTAACAGAATTCACACTATTTTACGGCTATTTTTGGTGTAGAATTAAGAATTAAGTTATTTGTTTGAAGTCATCTAATAAAAACAAGTAAAAGAATTACCCTATACTTTAATATTTTGAAACAGTGCTTCAATGCTTTAACCAATTATTACAAAAAAACTTGTCAAATTTGAGTCATTCTTAACCTAAAATTGTTCATTTTAGTAAATTGGAATTTGTCAATCCCATGTGATAAGACTTTAGATATACCAAATATACTCCACAACTCAACTGTCTAATACTGTGTTTAGACCACTGGGAAACTGAATTTTATCTATTTTTATGTTTTCAAAGTTTTATTTTTCAAAAAATCATTTAAAAAGTTTATATTGAATAAGGTGTTGTTAGTAATAGTATTTTTAGACATAATCCTTTCATTATAAGATAAAATAAATTGCTTTTTCAAAAAAGTATTGGAGAAAAAAATGACACAAAAATTTATGGTCTTGAGATTAGTTTTAGTAAGACACAACAAAATTATCAGATATTCATAGTGGATCTAAGTATATGGATGTTTTAAAAGTTCTATATAACGTATAGAGACAACACCAATGACAAGATCATGGTGTAGTTCTCTTAGTCTTGGAAGCACGGTCTTATTACAAAACCCCAGAGTATTCAACATAGAGCAGAGAAAATGCAGCTATTAATGGTGACAAATTAACCCCACAGAGACCAGTAAGAAGTAAACAGTGTATGCAAAGAATCTAACAATCTTATTTCTATGGGTGATGTAATAAGATATTTAAAAATAAATCCTGAAAATATCATATTAAATTAAAGAAACAACATTAAAATTTCAGATTGAAATTATGATAATCACAGTGATGCAAGTAAAATAAAAATGGTAGTTCTTTTAATTTCTTGAAGAACCTCCATGCTGTTTTCCATAATGGCTGCACCAATTTATATTCCCACCAATAGTGCACAAGGGTTCCCTTTTCTCCACATCCTAATATTTGTTCTCTCTTTTCTTTTTGATGCATGTCATCCTAAAGGACATGAGGTGATAAATCATCGTGGTTTTGATTTGCATTTCCCTGAGCGTTAGTGATATTGAGCACCTTTTCCTGTACCTGTTGATCATTTGCATGTCTCTTTTGAAAAATGCCTATTTACGTCCTTTGCCCATTTTTTAACTAGGTTATTTGTTTTTTGCTGTTGAGTAGTATGAGTTCCTCATATTGTGGATATTAAACTCTTATCAGATATAAGATTTGCAAATATTTTCTCCAGTTCCATAGGTTCTCTTTTCATTTTGTTGATGGTTTCCTTTGCTGTGCAGAAGCTTTGTAGTTTGATGTAGTCCCACTTTTTAATTTTTGCTTTTGGTGTCAAATCCAAAAAATCATTGCCGAAACCAATTTCAAGGAGCTTACCCCCTGTGTTTGCTTCTAGGAATTTTATGGTTTCAGGTCTTATATTCAAGTCTTTAATCCATTTAGAGTTGACTTTTGTGTACAGTGTAAGATAACGGTTACAGTTTCATTCTTTTGCATGTGACTGTCTAGTTTTCCCAACGCTATTTATTGAAGAGACTGTCCTTTCCCCACTGTGTATTCTTGGTTCCTTTGTGATAAATTGAATGACCATATATTTCTGGCTTATTTCTGGATATTCTATTCCATTGGTCTGTCTGGCTGTTTCTATGCCAATACCATACTGTTTAATTACTGTCACTTTGTAATATAGTTTGAAATCAGGAAGTATGATGCCTCCAGCTTTCTTCTTTCTCAATTATGCCTTGGCTATTTGGGATCTTTTGTGGTTCCATACAAATAATAGGGTTGTTTGTTTTATTTTTGTGAAAAATGCCACTA